AGTTAATTCTATGTAAATCACCACGAGAAATCGAAAATTTCATAGAATGCTCTAAGCTTAATCTAACGGATAGAACTTTCTCGTCAAGCATGGAAACTGATAGAATACATTTTAACCAGAGAAAATATTCAATATCCATATTCACTTATTGGTGTTCTTTAAACTGATAGCCAGGTTTTAAATCAAGGTAGAGTGTTATATTACCGTCAGGGAGCGCTACTAGAACAGGATTCAAAAGTGAATCTATTTTTAGTAGTTCTTCTATTTTGTTACATACACATTTTCAACTTGAAAATTAAATTAATCCATGTATGTTAAATTTGACAAATACCTACCACAAAGGGCCATCAACAGTAAAATATTAACTTGGAAGCCACCTTCTGGTGGCTCAGCGGTTAATCTGAGAGATTATAACGTTAAAAATCAGGTTTCGATATTCGCGATGAGCAGATAACCCAATGTGTAGCTTTGCACTTAACAACAAGCAAAACCTAGAAGTATCTTGAAATATGCTCAATGCAAGAGCGTATCACTGAGGTGACGTAGGGAACAGGCCCACATTGGAGAGTTCTCCTTCTCCCATCTGAGATATCAGATCTTTAAATTATCCCTACATTGTGACCCGAACTGACAAGAAAGTTTGTTGTTGTTTTTTTTTGGGGGGGGGGGGTCGAATGTATTAGTCACACTATGTAACTTGAACCGAAAAAAGAATCTCTAATTAAGTCAGACCTATCACACTTTCTGAGATGTATATAAGACGTTTGTGTGCCCTCCCTCCATACAGTGTGTATGTTGTATTATAGAAAACCTAATAAAGTTTTTTTTTTGTGTGTAAGGATGTGGTGTTATCTATAAATGTAAGTAACGTTAAGTTACGTCGAAGATAATAAATACTCAATAACAGCAATAATGGGGTGGAGGGGTTGGAAACCCCCATTAACATGCCCCTTGTTCCAAACTATCATCCCACGAAGTTGGGTTGAGATTGGACCAACGACCTAGGAGTGGTTGGATAACGGACAGACAAATAGACAGACGCATATTTTTATGCTTTATCTACATAGATATGTATATTCGTGTGTGAGTGAAAGGGGCTAAATAAAAACCGCGGGTATGATCTCGGTATTCTCGTTACAACCCTATTTTTCCATTGTTTCGTTTTGTTGCAGTGTTCCGATGTTCAGAAGACAGAATTCTTATGGAACCATTTTTGAAAGTTCAAAGTTCGTATAGCAAGAACTTAATTTCATCTTCACTCTTTGTCATCTTGTTACGACGGCTGGTGGAGGAACGTACGTGCCAGTCTCATGTCCAAATTTTCTCACCTTTATGTAGAATATTCATGGTAAGGAGATGGATAAAGATTATTATTATAAATTCACATAACGTTCAGTTTAAATGTTTTTTATACATGTGTTTGGCGATTTTTTTTAGTAAAGGTAAATAAAACACAGCACAGTGGCATTGATTAAATATATTGTAGTTTATTTCTGTCACAATAATGTTAAACATTTAGAGTGAATTTGTTCATTTAGCTCTTATGTCTTTAACGTGTTAACCTTTTTGGATGTTAATTGTTCTGTGTTTTAATGCTATTGTTTTCTATTGCTGTTGTTTTTCAATGTGTATTTGTCATTTTAATGTGTTTATATAAAATTATGTGCAGACTGTTCTCTACGTTAAATACGTTTGCCTTAAATGCGATCTTTCGACACACCAGGATTGTTGTTTAAGACACCTGTGTTTAAAAAAAGGTGCTCTACAGAGAGACGGACTTGTGTCATTCAGCTGTTATCCGATTAAGTCTCCTTTAAGCAATTAAAGCAAAATATTTAACGTGAATACGTTTTACATATTAATTTGCACCCACCCCCCTCAGTGGTACAGCAGTATGTCTGCAGACTTAAAACGCTAGTAACTGGGTTTCGATACTCGTGGTGAGCAGAACACAGATAGCCCATTGTGTAGCTTTGTGCTTAACTTCACACAAACAATAATTTATCTACGTTATGAGTTTAAAAAAAACAATTTAATATGTTATTGAAATTTATGTGCACTCATACATTTATCATTTGAAAATGTAGCTATATTTTGTACCCTATGTATTTAACAGTTGTACATATAATCAATATTTTCTTGTCAACTACAAAGTACCTTTAGTGAGGTGGCTATTTGCTTTAGGAACTTCTTCCTAATGTTAGGCGTCTTCAGACTAGCAATCTAAACTGTTCTCTTTTTCCTCGTTACCAAAACTGGTTCTGTTAGTAACATCTTGACTTTTTGGGCTTTGTATGTAAAAGCCTGTGTAGATTCGTTACTTGACCTCGTTCCACCACACGTATCAAGCTGTTTTTTTATCAGTTCGAGTTGAAGAGATTGACTAAAATGTATCACAAGCTCCTTGGGCATAGTGATAATAAAAAAAAAGTTCTGAAAGTAGCAGCATTCCCCTGAATACATGTTGTTGTTGCTTTAGGGGCTTTTAGAATGGTGTCAAACAGGGTACAGTAAATTTATTATGCCTAAACTTGGGTGTAGTTAACATAAGACACATCAGTGTTAACTTGTTTAATGATCTTTGCTGAGAGTTGCGTCACAGTGAATGCATTATACATGAACCCGGGCTCGGCTAATAAAAGTCATGTATATTTATTTCGGGATCCATACAATAACTATTATCACGTTATAAATCATGCAGTGATAACTTTACAAAAATATCAACCTCACAAAAACTTACTGGATTGCTGTATTTAAAGTATCATTCTATAAGTGTTTTTGTTTTGTTTATTTCCCTTGCACTGTGGCTATATATACATACAGAACGAAAGTCTGTGCTGACATTACCTGCAACATGATGATGAATTAGTTTTGAGTTTTCTCAACATCTATGTATTAACTTAGAAACAAAAGTATGTACAGTAAAAAAAAACCTTGCGAAAACGCTTGTACTTGATGTGTTTTTTCTCGTGAAAACACGTGTAACCCAGATTTTATGAGGATTAAAGACACAAATAAAACACCTATAACCTGTATTTTACAATTCATTTGTTTTATTATTAAGCACAAAGCTGCACAATAATTATCTGTGCTGTATCAAACCCCGAATTTTAGCGCCATAAGCTTTCAAGCTGTCAAGTGAGCCATCGAAGTGTATATTTTACAGGGATTAAAATGTTATAAGGATTAAAGCTTCAAAATTTGTATTTCTACAGTGCTTGTAATCCAGATTTTGTCTTAAATTTGATGTGTAGTTCAGACTTGATAGCGTTTAAAAGACTAAGTCACAGGATATTTATTTTACATCCTAGTATAAGCTGGAATGGATCACTATATCTACAATCAGATGTAAAATATTTAGGTTTTGACTGATGTAATCAACATAACGTTTTGTTAATTGATATATGTATAATAGTACTGTCTGTTGTATGTTCATGTGACTACTTCGCAGTTTGTGGATGGATCTTCCCCATAATTAGTAAGAAGGTTCATTAGATCCTTGCGGGGGTACATAAAAAATGTTAGTTTTGCATTTTGTGGTTTTTATGGGCGTTTTTTACAATTACATATAGGGTAAGCAATTTTTCACGTCCTAAGATAACCTTTCATTAATCACGAATTTGCATAACTTCCGTCCAGGGGAAGTTAGAATTATTATTCATACGTTTATTGTTTTACAAAATGTCTTTGAAACAGTTGCTATTTTACCTTATTTTATAATTCCAGTTACATTATAATTCTAAACTTTATGTGTAATTATTTGCAAGTGTGACCAAGCATTTAGACAAAGTTGCATTTAAAAAGTGTCGCATGTTTCTCCTAATTTTAACCTAATATAGAACTGAAGTGCTAAATAAAACGTGTTTGTCTGTGAGTTTCAGGTCAATTTTCAGAACGTTGTCTTTTTCTTCTTCTTAGTAATCGTGTAAAGACATACAGAGTACTGAGGGTTAATAGTAGTTTGTAAGAACGATGTTCCAGGTCCTGTGCTACTCTTGGAACAAAGTTCTCCATATTCGATCGTGCTTATTCTGATGACTCTGATTACACATGCTCAAAGTCGTAATTTTGATTGTGAAAAACTAGCAAGGTCAATCTTAGATCACAAATCTCGATAACTTTTCTACAGGATCCTCCACTGCACAAGGACGTCGACTTCCAAGTCCACGTGTAAAGAGACCAAAGTCACAAAGGTCAGTTGGAGCTGCATCTGTGAACTTGACAAGTATGTGATTGAATGATATTGCTATGATTCCAGATTCTTCAGCCATCTTTTTCATGAAGACAGACGTTGATTTTGGGTAGATGTGGCTGGAAGCTTGTGAGTGTTAACAGTAAGTACCACGAAATACGCGTAGCTTTATAGAAGTGGCTTTTCTTTCGTAATCATAATCTTCACTTTGCGGATGAGAGACTTGGTCTGCATCTGCTTGAGATGTAGTTTTGAAGTTAGCTTTCTTATTAAAATTTCTGCTGCGAAAGTTTTCCCGCTTCCACGAAGGACGCCCTCTAGTGACTCAGCGATAAGTCTGTTGACTCACGACACTAAAAATCGGGTTTCGATAACAGTGGTGGGCAGAGCACAGATAGTTCATTGTGTAACATTGCGCTTAACAACTAAATAAACCCATATAGAACATTATTCTTTTCTTGCTCTACGAATAAGCATGACACATATGCAATGTTTGGAATCAAATTAATAATTGAAATACAGTTTCATATTTGCATAATTAAAAGTTGATTACCGTCAACGGCTTCCGCTTACAAACTCCACATGTTTTGATGCCTTCTGCGCCATTTTCAGAAGATACTTACAAGACAATTGTTTCAATATTTAAACTCTCTGCATGTCACGAGGTATTATGTTTGTCAGTAAATCAAAATAATTTGCTAGTTATTTAGATAGTATAAAACCATCAATTCAATTTACATATTAAGCTGTACAAAATAATAGCCTATCTTTTCTAGACGTGCTTGTAAAATAATGATATAGATGGTAGTTCAGAAACATTAATTTATAGAAAACCTTTTGTTGTTGTCACGCCGCTACACCAAAACATCATGTCATATTAAAACACAGATTTCTGAATTTTATACTTGTATTCAATAAGCGTTGAAAATATGTTCTTTACAGGAATATTTAAGTAATCAGTTGTTACCAATTAAGTACATAGAGGTTGAAAGAGCAGTTAATAAACTTAGTAATAGTTCAACATTAGTTACCCCCTCCTTCCCAGTGGTTCAGCTGTAAGTCTGCAGGCTTACGACGCTAAAATTCAGGTTTCGGTACCTGTGATTGGCAGAGTACATATAGCCCATTGTGTATCTTTGTGTTTAACAACATCCAAATTCCCTCAATAATGTTAGTTAAAAATAATTTGCCAAAATCTGTTTATGAAAAAACTAAAACAAAAGAGACTAAGTTCACCTTATATTTCAGGACTGACAGGTCAATTATCTAAAGTTCAAATTTTAAGAAACAACAAAAACTTTAATTCCATCTTTAAACCTATGAATAAGATTCAAGAATTGTTAATGAATATCAAATATATAATACAGTTATAAGATAATACTGGGGTATATAAAATAAAATGTGAATGTGGTAGTACTTATAATAGTCAAATTTAAAGGACGTACAGATTAGAGGAACATAATAAGGGCTACGTAAGAAACTATAAAACAGAAAATTCAGCTATAGCAGACCATGAAAAAAAACAAAACACAATTATCTGGGACAAACTATAATTTTAGCTCAACCTCATAATATTACAACTTTAAATATCCGAAAATAATTGGAAATGATAAAATTTAAAACAGGGAAAGAAGAATTAAATCGAGATGAGTGGTCATCAAATCACTTCATTGATATATAGGACGTGACACATTGTAAACGTCGGCCAATGAAATGTAACCTGAAGAATAGATATATATTACGTTATGTAAGATTCAGAATCCTACCCGACCCTATATAAGAGCTGAAGATTGGTGCCCAGTGTTAGAATAACTTTCTCCTGACTGCTTGTATGTATTATGTGATTTGTAAATAAATTGATGTTTGTTCTTATTCGGCTTGTGTTTGTACAACTATTGAAAATAGTCATTCGTAGAAATACATAGCACAGAGACAAACAAAAACTATACGAATAAAAGAACAAAAAACTTGGTTGGAAAACCTCGTCACAAGTCACTTACACTTAACTTGAAGAAACCCACAAAATTCGTAATCTATACTTAACTTGAAGAAACCCACAAAATTCGTAATCTATACTTAACCTAGAGAAACCCAAAAGAGTCTTCACAATTCTAATTTTTATGCGATATTTTCCGTAATGTTAGCGCCGAAAATTTTGGAGTTAAATATTTTAAACACTTTACAGATGAGTAACTTACATACATCAAAGTTAACTCATCATCATCATGAATTCTTCTCGTTTAGCGCCTCAGTTGTTCTAAGTCTTTACATCTATCCAAAACTTCCATGGTATGTCCATGTATGTTAACCCTTACGTATCTCCAACAACCGGTAAGTTTACGGACCTACAACGCAATAGTTCGGGATTCGATTTCCGCGGTGGACAGAGCGCAGATAACTCATTATGTAACTTTGCGCTAAGAAAGTAACAACAACATACAATTTCTAAACCTAGAGTTTCCATCTGTCCTCTGGTGTCTCAATAGAGAGCAGCTAAGGTACTCTATTGTAAATGTCTTCACTTTTTCTAACATTATACATTCTTTGTAACTTATGTTTCACAAAGATCACTCGCTAATGTGTACAACTTTTTCATTGGACGATTCGTACAAACCCCATCTATTGTCGACACTGCGAACTAAGTAAAGTAATAAGCTGCGTTAGCGTTTCTTCCAACTGTGGGATTCTCTTTTCAGATGTTTAAACGTTTCCCCGTGACAGGGAACATTTAACTTTCTTTTGGTGCTATCCTTATCAATTGTGATACAGATGCAGGGCGTTTTCTATTTCAATTTTCAAAAAAGTGGCAACTAAAATTGAACCACATCTTTAAAAAAAATCACAAACTACTCACCGCTATTCCATACCTACTGAATAACTCATTTACAGCCAAGATTCACAGACTCCTCGCCGTGTTTACCAAACTTTTAGTTTAGATTCTATTTCAAATGGTTCTCACGTTATTCGAGATGCTTATTGTTGTACCACATACTTTTCTCTTCCTTTTGCTGAATTTACGAGAACAGTAACGAAACGGAAAGTCGAAACCTTTCGTACTATATTATATGTGTTTGAGATAAAGATATATTAAAATAACGCGTAAAACACGTTGTTTGTTTCAAAATCGGGCGTAGTGGATAAATCCAATTAAACTTCAGATGATGAAAAAATAAAAACAATTGAGGAAATGACAAACAGGACACAAACTTTAGTTATCTGTCCCTTCACAAAGTTACACTGATGACGCTATATCTTGGTGCGAGGCTAGGATAAAATACAGCTAAGCCAAATCCTGAAAGAAGAAGAATAGAGTAAGTACCGTGTAATATTACTCTAAAAGCAAAAAAAAAAAAAAAAAGATTTGTGATCTAAAATTTTATATAGTTATTTCGGCATCTACTAATAATCAGATAACCACTTGAAATTTAGTATTTTATTTTTTATCAGATCTTGTACTTTCTAATACTACCATTGAGTTGGAAAGAACTCGAAGATTTACTTTTATAGTACATCAGACTACGTCATTATTTCTTCATAAAATAAATTTTCAACTTAATTTTATTCAATCATTTTTATGAATAATTGGATAACATTTCTCTGTTACAGATTATAGTTTAACTGATATTTAATTATAACTTTCTAAGTCATTCACAAGGTGTCACTGGTGACAGACACGCGACATGTGAATTAATCAAGCGATATCATCAGAGTTTGTGAAAAAGTTAGGTAATAAAAGTATTTTAAACATGTGGTCAAAAGCAAATCTTTACATAAGTAACAGACACAGTAGTAGTAGTACAAAGTAACAGACATAGTATTAGTACAAATACAAGTAACAGATACAAAAATAGCAGTAGTACAAGTATAAGTAACATATACAATAATAACAGTAGTACAAGTATAAGTATAAACACAATGGTAGTAATAAATAACAAACAAAGTAGCAGTAGTACAAGTTTAAGTAACAGACACAGTAGTAGTAGTACAAAGTAACAGACATAGTATTAGTACAAGTATAAGTAACAGATACAATAATAGCAGTAGTATAAGTACAAGTACAAACACAGTGGTAGTAATAAATAACAAACACAGTAGTAGTAGTACAAGTTTAAGTACCAGCCACGATAGTCTTATAAGCTGTACTTGCTTAGGGCATATACGACGTTTTGGTCTCTGAGGAAGCCAAAAAAAAAACAGATACATCACTTTTTCTCACTCCTTAGGTAGATGCAGTTCATATAAACTTCCAAATAAGTACAGTCTACTCGGATAAAAACACACACACAAACTGAAAATACTTTGAAAGAAAATATAGTGTTAATTACCTTTGAGTCTATCGTTCCGTGAGAAAATCCAGTTTTAAATACTCTCAAGACTAGTACAAGTGGATGGGTGTCCTTGGGAGCTGTATGTTTAGTAAGGAAAACCTTCCCTTAATTTCGAAGCTCCGAACGCTTTCCCTGCTATTCTTCCTGCTTTCATTTTTCGGTATTTGACACGGTTTTTCTCCAGTACACTTAAATTTCCATGTCAAGAAAAAAAAAAGTGTATTGCAACAACTGCATTTCTAGCACTTGGAGAAAGACTGGCTGAAAACCACAATACTTATAGAATACCATTTATTGGCAATGTTTTATTTATTCCTAAAGCTTGCTTGCTGTATGAAACCTCAAAATACGAGGAATTCATATTTTTTGTTCACCAGTTTTCACACAACTGATCTTATACAAAGAAATCTCGAGTAAATCTTATAGTATCTCAGATTTGTAAAATTTCGACGCACTATAAGAAAAATCTGCCCAGTAGTTTCATATAGACGTAATATACGGCCATCAATGATGATAGAAGAGGCGTCACCAGTAAGGACCTCTCTTTATCAAGTGATTCCATCTGGAAACGTCCGCGGTTCCGTTAACAGGAAACTTCTGAATCCTTGAGGGATCCTCAGTTTTCCTCCTAACGGCAACGATTCTATAATTGGCTCCTCCGTTATTGTCCCATTTTTCAGCTCCTTCGCATTTATAGCACACACAGAATTCAACCACTTCGAACTTCTCCGCTGAGTAAGGTATGGAGACCGAAAAGGAAAAAGTATCAAAAGGCGACGCCAAATTTTCGAATCCGTTGGGAACATAATAAGCAGGTAAATCCTCGTGGCTCATCCACCTGTCAAAAGTAACTCTGATAAATACGTTTTTTTTATACGCGATGTTCTTCACTTTAATGGTGCCTGACAACTTATCGTCTTTAATTGTAACGTTCTCCAAGGAAACACACTGTCTTTCTAGCTTGTTCTGAAACTCAACTTGTTCTGAAACCGGTTGACGAAAGGTCACTTCCCAACTGATTACTGCCTGTGTAATCTGTGGCTGTATACGTTTAGTTATTTCAGCAAAAAAATGGTCTGTCCAGTGAGGTGGATAGTATGACCCTTCAGCCACAGTTTGTACGTGTGTTAAAGCCAAACCTTTATCATCTGCGAACCATACACGTTTTCTACCTTTACTGTTGTCCTGTTGATTATCGTGTCCAAGGACCGCCTCATCTCGTGCTATGAGACAAGACCGAACGGGTGGCATCTTGGATGGCTGAATACCATTGAATCTCGTTTCTTTACTGTGATGGCGATGGAAGGAGTGAATGACGAACCCAGTGGTGTTGAAACAGTCGGCGTGAAAGCTAGGAGAAAATAAGGTGGGCTGGCAGATGAGACCATCTCAAAGTAAACTATAGACTCTCTCTGTCTAAATGTCTCAAGGAAACCTAATTTAAGAGAATCTGTTTTATTGCGTTGTGAAAGAAAAATAAATAAATAACACACACATATACAAATACATAAAGATAAAATCATTACCATATATGATTTATTTTGTCCTAAGTTAAAATGAAAGTAACCATTTTTTCCAAATCTTCAGACGAAATATGTGCAATCACTCTTTTTTTCTATATTAATAACATACACACTGCTTAAAATTATTATTAGACATATTTAAAGTTATTTTATTACCCCCCCCCCCTTTTTTTTTATCAAGAGGTATGTTTGTTTTAGAGTTTTCGTGCATCACATTTTATGAGAAGAAATATCCGGAGTCACTTAAGGATGAAAACAAGACTTTTATACTGTTAGTCAACAAAGATAAAATGATTACTATTGGCAGTGAAATAAAACTATCTGGTTATTTAAGCCTGACATTTGACTTCACACACACAACTTTATTGTTGATTTAGGAAGTGGCGCATGTTATTTGGCAGGAAAAAATATAGGCATTGTGATAACAATAACTATTTCCTTCCACGATGTTCCACATATAATATAAATGATTGTCACTCTTATTTAATTTACATTTGGAGTTCTAAGAAGAACTCTGAGTGGCCTTTGCAGAGGAATCTGGAGAGGCAGGAAATGTATGATTCTTCACTTCACGGGTCTGGCATGGCCAAGTGGTTAGGGCGCTCTACTCGCAATCTGAAGGTCGCAGGTTCGAATTCAAATCCCACTAAACATGTTCGCCCTTTCATCCGTGGGGGCGTTATAATATAACCGTCAATCCGACTATTCGTGGAAAATATATCAGTTGCTTTCAAATTATGACTTCTTCTTTTTTGTTCACTTTATTTATTCATTTTTTGTTCGCACAATTCACACTACACATGTTTGACCGTTCTGGAAAAAATGCATTTATTTACTATTGTTAAATGATTTCATAAAGGTTACATCTCGGAATGTGTTGATAAAAAATATTTTACCAACAAATTACGAAAAAAATGTACGTGTACTTGTAGCACGAGGTTCTTACATATATTGAAAGGGCTAAGGTTTTTGATAATTGTGTATAAAACGTCTATTATTTGATTCAAGCTATTCTAAGTACACTGTTGGAATCTTATATGTAAAATGTCTGTTGTTTGATACAAGAGGTTGTAAGTACAATATTAAAACCTTGTAATATAAAATGTCCGTTCTTTGATTCAAGTTGTCCTAAGTACAGTATTAAAACATTGTACACAAAATGTCGGTTTTTAAATTTAAGCTGTTAAGTACACTATTGAAACCTGTATACAAAATTTTTATTCAAGCAGTTGTTAAATTCACTATTGAAATTTTGTATATAAAGTACAGTATTAAAACATTGTATATAAAATGTCCGTTTTTTATTTAAGCTGTTAAATACACTATTGAAACCTTGTATACAAAATATAGGTTTTTTTATTTAAGCTGTTAAGCACACTATTGAAACCTTGTATACAAAATATAGGTTTTTTTATTTAAGCTGTTAAGTACACTATTGAAACCTTGTATACAAAATATAGGTTTTTTTATTTAAGCTGTTAAGCACACTATTGAAACCTTGTATACAAAATATAGGTTTTTTTATTTAAGCTGTTAAGCACACTATTGAAACCTTGTATACAAAATATAGGTTTTTTTTATTTAAGCTGTTAAGCACACTATTGAAACCTTGTATACAAAATATAGGTTTTTTTATTTAAGCTGTTAAGTACACTATTGAAACCTTGTATACAAAATATAGATTTTTTTATTCAAGCTGTTGTTAAGTTCACTATTGAAATTTTGTATATAAAATGTCTGTCGTTTCATTCAGGCTGTTGTAAAAACAGTACTGAAACCTTTGTTTAGCTAATAATAAAATGTCACATTTGAAAATGTATGGTAGTTTAGTTTTATACTTTAATGAAAAGTTTTAAACCGAATATTCGCGAAAAAAATGTGTCCCTGCTTTGCGTTAATTAAACATAAAAACGTGAACCTAATTTTGCGAACGAAAAATAAGAATATTTAACAAATCCAAATTGAACAGTCTCAACACCACCACAATGATTTACAAAACTTACCTTTTTTACAATATAAACTGTTAAGGGATGGCAAATGTTTCTCCTAACTCTAACGATTATCTCCTATTCAGCTGTCAATATTCCTCCTCTTCCCAAAACCTTATTCGTTAAACTTATAGATGTTACAGTATTTCCTTGCAAGTGCTCTTCACGTGCAGGTCCTTCGAGAACCAATCAGAACAACAAAGTACTGTGTGACTGGAAAGGACACGCTGATGCTCTGCAGTTTTCAACCAATCAAAACGCCTGAACTTAATTTACCGGCCTAAATTCTTACTGTTATGTAGTTCCAAGTCCATAGCAAAAAACACCGCTACTGCAGAAGGTTCACCGTGCAGTGTGTTTATTTAGATTTTCTAACGTAGTGTTTGGATAAAAGGGTTCAATAAGTCACATGTTACTCAAGTAGCTTTAATAATACAATAATCCGTGAGTTTTACAACATTCTAAAAGATAATTGAATAATATATGTATATTCTCCGAAAAGAAGCAATTAACATAAACTTCCAATCAAAACAAGCTACCTACTTAAAGAAAAATGAAAGTAACATTACAGAAATAATATAGGATACTTTACAAAATACAAGTTTGATAGTGTAATTAAAATTGAAGCTGCCTAGGATAAAATATAGTTATATACCTAAGTTTAGATTTATTTACAGTAAAAGTTACCAGAATAGTTAAAGAATACCCAGTTAATTAGTACTTTGTGTTATCTATAAATGTTGTAAAGATTAACAGCTTTATAAGTACAAATTAAGTAACGAAGAACAAACACAAATTTACAAAATATAAAGACAATTACAGTGACTTGTTTCGACGTGCCACGTACGCCAGTTTCAAGGGTATACCGTGTATGTGTGTGTACAGCGACATCTTGCGAGTGTTGTTTTCTCGGCTTGATTTCTTCATACATATTCCGTTGAAAAATGTTTTCCATAATAGATTCAGTTGAAAGCCCATATAATTGTTCGTGAGTTTGTTGCATTCATATGTATTTCAATAGCTTCTATAATATTTCTTTGGTAAAAATATTTAGGTTCTGCGATGATTTTCGTTTCTTTAAATTTGATTATGTGGTCATTTGGATATACATGAGCGGCGACGGCTGATTTTTCTATTTCCAAATGACGGCAATGATCTTCATGTTCTATTATTTTTAGGTTCAACGACCTTTTAGTTTGACTTATGTATACTTTGTTACATGAGCATTGGATCGAATATATTCCTTGTTTTTGGAAACTATTGATGGGGGTTTTCCCCTTTATTTAGTTTACTTGAACGTTTTCCAATAGGTTTGAAGGTTGGTTTGATTTAGTTGTTGTTCCATAATATACCAATTTTATTTGAGATTTCCGAGCAATAAGGTTAACATATAGATTTTTTCCACATTACTTCCTTGGCTTTGTTTATAAAACTCTTTTTTGATTTTGTAGAACAACCTGTTGATTAAATTGGTATCAAACCCTCGTGATACAGCAACATTTTGATTTCTTGTTCAATTCCTTTTTGGTTTGAGCAGGTACTGAGCATACGCCAAATTAATGTTTTGTGTGTATTCACGGTTTGATCTTTTGTGGGGGAATAGACGAACACTGTTTGGTTTTCGATAAACTTCTGTTTCAATTGTGTCATCGGAATTTCTTGTGATTAAAACATCTAGAAAGGCAATTCTATTATCACAGGTGAGAGGTGATAGAGGACTTTCCATGCTGAATCCTTGATTTTGTTGATGATGTTCATTGTTGAATTGAAAAAGCCAAATACTTAACCAAAATACTGTCATTTCTACAAGACTCACACAAGAACGCTGTAAAGAACTTTGTTTCAAAGATAAAAAACATCAACCCCAAAGACAAATACGTGGTATCACTTGATGTAAAAAGCTTGTTCAACGAAAGTTCCATTAACTGGTGTTATAGATGTGTTACGACGAGC